CACTATGTTCTGGTCTCCTACAAAGCATTTTCCAATGTGCATTCCAAGGCAATGACGTTGACCCAAGCTTGTTTCTGCTATCTGGAGAGCAGTTGGCATTATCATCATTACTCTAAATTGCCCATGGGTACTGTAAAAAAAACAAAACACCAGAATCAGTTGAAGTCTAAGTTAAGAACAGTGCTTTAAAAGTTTATGATGAACTTTCAAAAGACCTCAAATGGCGCCAAATGACGGAACTTTGAACTCTTCGCTGCACTGCAGCTGTTGAGAAAGCTGGAATCATGCTTACGCCAGATTACTGGAATCTGAAGGTTAACAACTCTGGTTTAACTTGTTGATCCCAGATGTGTGCTGTTCTTTTTGACGGTGAAACCTTACCGCAGTAATCTCACGCGCCCTGGTGTTCTCGTGCTGGGAACGGCCTGCTAAAGTCTCAGTCATGCTGCGTTATCTTGTTCACTAAGAGCCAATAAAAGGCCGTGCAGATGAGGGGATCAGAGGTTTCTCATTCTGTTATGTGGCATGGCATGATCACATTACAAAAGCCATCCATGTGAAACATCAGCACCAGTATTCCCCACACTGCCCTGCATTTTTCATAAAGCCTGGAACATCTCAGGATTGTGGTAGGCTTGGATGGATAAAGAGAAACAGTGGCGGGAAGTCCATTAGCACTCGCATTTCCTGTGTCAAACCAGACCCGCATGTTTCTGATTGAGCGATGAGAGAAACAGTGAGGTAAAGAAATAACCATGTGACTGTTGAGAGAAAGGAAACTAACCCAGACATATTGGCCACTGCTGATTCACAGTGTTGCTAAATCCGGTTATCCTCTTACGTGTTTAAAACCTGCTCGGCTGCACATGGGCAACTCAAAACACACCAAGTTCACTCCTCTATACACACAAATTATTAAGTGAATGCAATACAATAACAATTAGCAAATTATATATTAACAAGTGTGGTGATAAACACAGGTGAGGCAAGTATGCAACACCCACCTGCTGAGTAAGACGATCAACCTTCAGCTAGTCATGTTTACGGTCAAGAAATGTCATGTGATGTTAGTGAGACTGCCTCACAGTGTAGCATACAAACAAAGGCCAAAAAAAAAACATTGGCAATGATGGTTTAAAGGGATAGTTCAACCAAAAATGAAAATTCTGTCATCATTTGTTTACCCCCATGTTGTTCCAAATCTGTATGAGTTTCTTTTTAGAAGATATGTTGAAGAATGTGGGTAACCAAACAGTTGACGGTAGCCATTGACTTTCATTGTAGGAAAAAAAAAATGCTATGGAAGTCAATGGCTACTGTCAACAATATGGTTGACTAAGATGAACTTTGTATAACACTGCAAAAGCAGTCCTTTAAAGGGGTCATATGATGCTTTTTTAAAGATCATTATTTTGTGTATTTGGTGTAACAGAATATGTTGACATGCTTTAATGTTCAAAAAACACATTATTTTTCAAATACTGTACATTATTGTAGGTCCTCTATGCCCCGCCTCTCTCAAACGCTTCGTTGAAAGGAAAACTTGAAATCGCATCATATGACCCCTTTAAACATTTTCAAAAGTGTATTTTACTTTTGGAATTAACTTATAGGTCTTAAAATAAAATAACTTTTAAGACATACAATTTTAAGACATGCTTGATTCTTTTTAGAAATATTTATTTTAAGAAATATGTCATTTTAGGTATTTCTTCAAATTAAATCAAATTATTTTTAAAAAATTAAATTAAATTATGCTAAGATAAAATAAAATATTCCAAAAAATAAAGTAAAAAAAAAATACAAAAATTATATAACAAAATAAAACAAATCATATAATAAGATCAAATAAAAATAAAAAAAATCTAATTTGCTTACTTTTAAGGTTTTAAAGATTTCATTCAAGGTGGAACATTACCCAAATTCTTTTTGTGTTCATATGGGTCAAAGACGTTAAGATGTCCGCATCAAAAGAAATTTACAAAAGTGATTTTATGTCCATAGAAAGCACATTAAATATAAGTAAATTGTCTACTTTTAAGGTTTCAAATACGTTTTTGGAGGATAAAATATAAAAATTTGGTTGAAATGTTACATTGTCATTCAGTGTAACACAATATTTATGTAAAAATTCAACAACATGCTTATTCTGACGTGTACATATTAAAATATATAAAAGAATAAGGGAGCATATTAAATTTTATTGTGTTTTAAATTAGTAAAAACTTCTTACTGACAAATGGGCAAAACCTAGGATAGTGGCAAATTTTAAAAATGTAAAATTACAACTAATTGGTATTTGGGGTGAACGTAATTAGTCTTTTAATATATCATAAATTGATTTTTGTTGTAAATATGCCTGACAAGATCGTTACACTGAATGACATTTTAGTGGGTCTCTTCTGTAAATCAGGGAAAAATGTATGATATTTATTTTTTGCTCAGAAAACAGAAAACTTTTTCATTTTTGGGGGGAAAAACAACAACAATTTAAAGCAGTATTACACTTATTGTTTTTATGCTTAAACCCTTTTTCGTCTTTGACCCATATACATGTAAAGGCAAACAGCTCATTTAAGACCTACTGAACAGGACCTGTGGACTGAACTTGGCTGAAGAGCAAAGCACAGCAGGAGGGAATCTTCCTTTGCCATTTAAACATGCCTGAACAAGATGACCTGTTGTCTGTTTGTGAGAAACAGGACATTTTGTTTTTCTTATAGGTATGTGTCTTTAAACATGAAGCAAAGCAGGTCATGCTGTAACACACATAATCCCTGCCTGCTCACCCTGAACCAGACCAGGCCTGCCACACAAAGCCAAGTACACAAGCCAAGGTCTTCAGAAGAGTCTTAGTCAGACCAACATGGTGGGGCCAGCAAAAGTGGAGTACTGAAAACTTACTTTAACTTATAATAACTGCAGCATCGCCCATTCTGAATATTGTTTCACTTAATTAGAGGCAGTGCTGTTTGTACAAGTTTCAACCATCTCCACCCTGTTCATTAAGCACTGCATTACCAGCCCAACTAGACACAAAACCAAGTGCTACGTGGGCCTCTACTAGAGAACCTTGTCAAGAAGAGTTGGCCCAAAAAATTTTTTTTTTTCCAACCCTATATCATTTTCTTTATGCCACAAAACATAAATAAGATGTTGGGCAGAATGTCCAAGCTGCTCTTTTCAACACAATAAAAGTGGGTGGTGATTTACACAGCCAAGTTCCATAAAGATCTAAAAGCACAAAGAAAAAAATATTTAAATATTTTATATTTTCTTTTATATTTTACTGTTGTTTTATTTTTTATTTATTTATTTATTTTTTGCTTATTGCATTGCGTCATCACATCATTAATGGAAAACAGATGCTTGGACATTCTGTCTATCTCCTGTTGTGATCTGAAAAAGAGATGCATTATAAACTAAATGGGACTGAGTAAATGATGGCCATTTAAATGTAATTTCATCATGACCTCATTTTGATGTCAATTTAATCAATACAACATAAGTTTGTACAACACCATGTCTTTAACAGGCACAGTCTGCCACAATGAAATTGAAATCACAGTCAGTCAGGACATATTTAATGTTTGATATACAGTACAGTTATGCAGAGCAGGATTTGACCAATGGGATTCCACTGTGGGCGGGGCTACCCAGTGTGATGCTACAGAAATACAGTATAAGCCGATAAACAAAATGTCCTGCAGCTCATTGTGGCTGGTTAAAACAAAACCTCTTAATTGCATGGGGGGGGAACCAATTCATTGGTTATCAATGTAGTCCATCGCATCTGGACACAGTGTTAGCAATGCCTTTCCTCTTAATTTCTGCTGAGAGCAGTGCTGTTTGGAGACTGAGGAAAATAGGTCATCACTTGTCACTGGGCAGAAAGCAAGAGGTTGCTCCCCAAAGTCCTAAACACACAAGTGGATCACAAGATTTCACTTATGTTCATTTAATTAGAAAATAACTAAACCACATTGTGGAAGGAAGTGGATTAAACAAAAGCAGGATTTGACAAAAACATTAAACAGACCTTTGGAAAACATGCAAACACGTTGGAGACTTTTTAATGGACAAGCATGCCAAAGACCTTGTCCTTCAAAGTCCTAATTCTCAACAACTTGCATTGCAGATGCTTGGAGTGAAACCTCAGAAAATGGCCTTCTTTTGAAGAACTAGAACAGCCAGTGCTGACACTCCAGGGGACATCAGCAATGAGTTCCACCAGCACAGATTCTGGGTCAGAAGCAACCCAGTTCTGCATCTGTATGAGAAGTTAGGAGAAAGACGCACAACTTTAAGTACACCTGAACCTGAAGACACTCAGTGAAGGTGAGGTACACCATAACTGCACTTACCACAACACATTTTATAAAACACAAGCACATACATATCAAACCTGGGATGGCTATACAACAAACATGTAATCATGACAGACAAGATCATTTATGGCTCCTGATAGTCTTGCTGTTTTCAGTAAAAAGTGAATCCATTAACCCTTAAATGCATGAATGTTTCGCCAATCATTATTACATATTCGGGTCTTTAGCGACCCGGATCAATATATCCAGCACGGATGGATCTCTAACTGCTGCAATAGCAAAGAACTCTCTTGATATTTTAAGAACAATTACAGAAGAATAAAATAAAGCATATTTCGTTACCTTTTGAAACTTAAAAGGGTTCAATTTGAGCAGATGATTTTTCTTCCTGATTATCCAGTCAGTATGGTAGGCTACTCTAAGAAGCCCTTTATTGTGGTCACACTGTAAAACATGAGTTAAGTCAAATCAATTTGACTGTGTATAAGTTGTTTAAAACTTTTATCATATACTGATAAAAAAAAAAAAAAAACATTTGTTGCCATGACTTTTTGATCATATTTTTTCCCCCATAACACGTCTGTACCCAAATTAAGAATTAACGAGCATGTCTACAGCTATTACAAAGAAACAGAGAAAGAGCGAGAGAGTCCATTTACCTCAGCAGCAACTATGTCGCATTCTCGCATCTTGATCTTTAACGTAATCTTTTCGTGGATCAAAACTAATGCTTAAGGTTGATTCAATATATAATAAAAAAAAAAAAAAACGTTACATCAACAATAAAACAGTACAATGATGAAGTCGCTTAGCTTATATTAAACATAAAAATTGAACAAAACGAATAAACTGATGACTTGGTGTAACCGCGTTGTAACATAAAAATAAAGTCTTTGTATTTTCCCCTTTGTGGCTCATTATTATTATTAATAATAATAATAATAAAAAACCATAGGCCTGAAACTTCAAATAAAGATTTATCGATTACGTTGTTACGCAGTATGTGGTCGAAAAGGGGCTGTTAAAATGTCTTGAATCATTCAAGAGATTCGTTCACAAATGCTGATTCATCCAGTCAGGGGCGTAGATTACGCGGGGGGCGTGTCCCCCCCACTTTTAATATCACGTAAATTCGTCCCCCGCACTTTTTCCGGCAAGTGTGTTCGCATAGAGGTTTTCAAGAGCCGGTGTGAATAAATATAGATTTAAATTCAAAGAGACAGGATAGTCTGTGCATGATCTGATGTTTTATTCGGACACAGAATAAGCCGAGATGAACATCGCGGACGGCAAAACACTCCGTGCAGTGTATGTTTCATTCATACTCAAAAAAAAAAAAAAAACTAACTCAGTTTATCCAGAATCATGCAGCTCTTAAACGAGTCCAGTTTTTATGTGGCCTGCTGATTTTTGTTTATGGTATTCAGCTGCAACTAAATGTTTTGCAATAATGAGACCGAATAAATATGTTTGATAGGCCTGGGCGATAAAGTGGGTCTGAGCCGCTAGAATTCAAACGATACCCAACCCTAATGGCTCCTAATATAACTTACAGCAATAGTTTAGAGAAAAATCTGAAAATTAGAAAACTAAAACTAGATGAATATTAAATGAAAAACTTTTGAAAAAAAAAAGTGAAATTATGCCTTTGCAACTAGATAAAATTCAAAAAAGTTGAAGTACTAAATAAAAATGAATAAAAGTTGAATATAAATATTAAAAAATAATATAAAAAACCAAAATGACAAAAATTAAAATGAAAACAACAAAAAATAAGCTCATTTAAAATATTAACAAATAGGCTACTACAATGGTGGACATTATAACTAAACATTGTTACAGACATTATAACAATACCCAAATTAATCAGAATCAAATTGTGCATTTCAGAATCAGATATTTTCAGAAATGTGCATCAACACACAGACCTAACAAATATCACAATTTTAAGTTACATTTCGGTCTGTTCTTCACACAAAGCTACCAAACAACTTCAGAAGAAAGTGTGGCCAGGATATTCCTTCAAAAATTTACATTTTGTGTAAACATAAAGAAAGTTTTGGAACAACATGAGGGTGTGTAAATGACAAAATCTTATTTTTTTCATTAACTATCCCTTAAGAAAAAGCTATGCACTTGACTTACACAAGAAGCTCACTAAAGGAGCTCATTGTGGAAGGAATGCTAACAGAGTAACTTTACAACTTAGGTGTCGCCAGCAGGCTGTCTGCGTTAATCATACCTGTGTAATAAACACGTTCCTGTCCTCTGCCCCCATTCTCAGCCTCTTCACGTCTCAAACTTTTAGAAGGGGGGCCAGAGCACCCTCAGCCACACTTCAACTCCTTAAAGAGTCGTGAGGGAGGATGATGCTACAGTTTGTTTTGGCCGTCGGCCTTGTTTTATCTGTCCAGCCCCTGCAGTGTGGGGGCAGAGGACGAACCATGTCTGTACACCTCCCCACAGTTAGATTGTGACTCTCAGATTACAGCGCACTGAGGATGTCAACATCAACGCTGTAGAGAGAGCGCACACCGCCACTAAAACCACAGGCCCAAACATAGACACTGCTGGACATCCTTGCAACAAATCAAACTATGGCATCCCTGCTTTAGGGAGGTCAAACAGCGGGAAACTATCAAACAAGGAAATCTGGTTGTCGTATACAACTGTATTTATACAAATGCTGAGCTCACATAAGAACAAAAAACACTGTTCTTTACACAAAATCTTGACCTGACGTATGATTTTCCATACGAGGAAAAACATTTATGGCGGCAATTAAAAAAAGTGCACATTTCTTTAGGGTGTGAGGCACTTGGTTTAATGTTACTGAAATGTTTACTTTACCAGGAAGCCACAGAATTCTGAGAATTGCTTAGTTATTGAAAGGATATGAAAAAGGCATTTTAATGTTGACCACCTGACTACACCCATGTACGAACACCATAGAACTTAATGAGTCCTGTGAGCCGCCTCTCCAAACCACTCAACGTCATATGATAACATCAATAATAAATCCAGAAGGAATGGATTTAAACATCCGACTAGAAAAACGTGAGTAGATTTTAAATTAGTCACATTTCTTCATTTTTTGTTGCATTTGTGACCAGTTTAGGCACAGTCTAAAATTTAAGAACGAGTTAGTTTTAAATGAATATTCCACATTCCATACAAGTTCAGACCAATCGACAGCACTTTTGTTGATTAACACACAAAATAATTTCCATTTTTCACTATTTTTCTTTAAAAAAAAAAAAAAAGCAAAGATCTGGATTACAGCAAGGCACTTACAATGGAAATAAATGGGGCCAATTGGTAAACATTAAAGGGGTCATATGATGCTTTTTTAAAGATCATTATTTTGTGTATTTGGTGTAACAGAATATGTTGACATGCTTTAATGTTCAAAAAACACATTATTTTTCAAATACTGTACATTATTGTAGGTCCTCTATGCCCCGCCTCTCTCAAACGCTAAAGAGAAAGGAAAACGTGAAATCGCATCATATGACCCCTTTAAAATACTTTTTAGTAGGCCCCTATAGCCACAAAAAGTACACAATGTGAGTGTTAACATGATGTTAGTGTGATTTTATAAGGATGTCCCGAGCAGATCTCGAGGCCGATCAAGCATTTTTTAACTGATCGTTTTGGCTCTCCTAATGCCTAGTTCACACTACAGGATTTTAAGCCCGATTTAAGCCCGATTTGCAAGTTAACGTGCTCGCCGCGGGCTGTGATTGGGGAAAATCAGTGGGTGATCGGCGCTTGGCAATCTTTATGTGTGAACTACACAACGACGCATCAAAGAGGCTCGCTGACGTGTCGCCAACACCTTGCCGACGGCAAACAAATATCTAGCATGCCAAATATCTGGACCGACATCACGTGGTGTCAGGTGTTGTGACGAGCTACAGCCAATGAGAGAGCAAGGCATGGGTTGAGGTCACCGGAAGAAAAACAACAGCAGCGACATGGCTTAAAGAAAAGTTTGGACACAATAAATGGAGCAAAATTTTTCATCGAGCAAACAGCTTGCAGCGCTAATTTCTTCCCGACATCCATTTTCAAATAAACAACTTCTGTTTCATGTGTTGTTTCGCGTGTGTTTTCGTGACAAAACGTGGGTTGTAGAGTCATTGGGTGACAGAGTTGTTGTCAGCTTCTGTAGTGTAACCCCCGGTTGCGGATCATTTACATAGATTCACGTAGTGTGAATACCACAACGACTTAAAAGACAGACAATCAAGTCATGTAGTCTGAACAGCATAGCGATCTGCCGACTTTTAAAGTCGTGTAGTGTGAACTTAGCATAAGGTGTCGTGTAGTAGGTGGCGGTATGGGCCTTTAAGAGGGTTTGCCGACTGCCATTAAAAAAAAAGAAGACACTCAAATGTGCATGCTCAGGCGCCATCAAAACCAAAAGAAGAAGAAATGTGCGTGCATGCATATGAGCTTCACTGTTCAGTGTATTTGATGCACATTTGTGTAACGATCTCTCATTCATTTATTGTTTATTGTTTACTGTTGTCAGCCGTCAGAGACGTCATACGTGCTATGGGTTGCATCTGGCTCTGGACTTGACTGATAGACTGGCGTTCTAGCACCACTAGCTTCATGCTTTCTAACCATATGTTGCAAATATTGTGCTTATTGTACATATAAAATACAAGAAGTTTATATCAGCAGTCCCATATTTAGAATCGTGACCACACAGTCTGTTTAAAATGTTGTAACATGTTTACAGCTACCAATATCTTTATATAGTTACATTGAGAGAGTGTGTATATTATTATATTATATTATATTATATTATCTGCACAACTCTGTATACATTGTATTGATTTTAATAACAATTAATGTACTTGAATTGTGCACCAGACACTAGGAATATACAAGTATCGGTTCAGGACTCAGTATCGGCAGATACTCAAAATTC